AGTAATAAAAAAATCAAATACCAAATAAAAATGTAAACTTTGACTTATTTGATTATATTTGGTATTTGATTATACCAAATATATTCCTATTTAATATATACATTAAATACTTACTAAAGTATTTATTTGTTTTATTTGTCAAAGTTAAGTATAGATTTGTTTATATTATCAAATCATAAAAAAATATTAAATCCATATTGTAAAAGAAAAAAATCATATAATTTTATAACAATTTTACTACACTATTTAACAATATTTCTTTTTTATTATATAATAAAATAATAATTAAATATTATATGGTGAACAACAATAAGTAAAACTGTTACTTTCACTTATATCAAGGGATAAATTTATATGCTAAAATTAAATTTTTATTAGTATAAATGTTTTAGTGAGATAATATTTTAATTATTTTACAAGCTACCCCTAACATGCTCATATTTAATGTTTTAAAAGATGTAGAAAAAAAATTTATAATAACTTTATTGTTTTTTAGACTTAAACGTTGATTAAAAGAGGTAAAATTCCTAATTTTTTAGACTTAAACGTTGATTAACACCATAGATTGAGAGTTTATATTTAGTAAAATTCCTAATTGTAATAAAAAAATTAATTTTTTCTATATTTTAGAATATCTTTAAATTCATTATAAAAAAAAAAAGAAAAAAAAACTAAAATGAAAAAAGCAAGTCAGCTATATATCGATTTGTTGTACTCCTCAAATCACATATTCACAATTTGGCTACAAGGAAAGGAAACTCATTGATTAATGTACAAAAGACTTTAAGACTCCACTTGGATATTATAAAACTTTTATTGAACATTGTACAATTTTCTTGCGTATTATAAACTTTTATTGAATATTTCATCTTATAATATAATATTCTCCAAATAAATATATCTTGTGCTTTGCACGGGTCACGTACTATATATATCCCGTACATTTTTCTTTATTCATGTATATAAATAGCCTTAAAATTGTGCACCTCATGCATCGCACGGGCTCTGTACTAGTTAGGTATTATTTCAGTTAATTTTTATTTGATATGAACAAGTTCCTAATTAGTAGGGTATTTAAACTTTGCCGGGTGTCACTTTATTATCCCTCTGGGATCCGACACTCGGATATTACTCCGATGGGGTCTTTTTGGTTGTTGTTTGTTGTTTTAGTTTTTTAGTTGGGTAGTTCTAGTTGTGAGCTTTATTCTAGCGTTGCTAGTCGGGATTCTAGGCGGTCTTCTGACCTGTCCTCCCATTTTTTTCAGCTGTTGGCTGCTGTGTATTCAGTCGTTGGCTGCTGTGTATTCGCACATTTGTGCATTTTGAGTTATAATATTATCTGTTGTTTTGGGAAAAAAAAAAAAAAGGTATTTAAA